CCGTAACCTCGGTAGCCAACGTTGGCGTTGCAGTAATTGGACTGGTAGTAGTGGTATTTACAGAAGCAAATTTTGATGTCATGGTGGTCTCCGAAGAGTCTTTAGTGGACATTTCAGATATGGGTGGTATTGATGATGAAATCGGAGCAAACATTGATGTCACAGTAGTCTCGCGAGTAATCTCTGTAGAAGTTTCAGATGTAGATGGTAGCGTAGTTTCAGTCACAGCAGAGGAGTCCAACGTTTGCAAAGTCGTTGTGGAGTTTTGGTCTTCTTCAGGATCTAAATCAACATGTAACTAGGAATTAAACAGATGTCAATTCTTTGAGCATTAATTGAGATTTCTTTTTACTACTTGACGTAAAGTAGGCCTTAGTTCTAAAATATATGTCTGTATGTCTATATGTCTTCATACTCCATGCTAATTGCGTAAACGACATTTTCTTGATCGACACGTTGCACTGAGAGATAACTTCTATAGCTTCTATAGACCTCCCTGTTTTCAGGCTCTCTACAAAATGGACATTAAAAATTTTCAACTCATAGCTAGCATCTTTTTAATTATAAAACATATTTTGAGTAGGTAATTTGGACAGATTTAAAGATCTTCTCAATTTTCAACTCGACTGTGTCTTTTTCGCAATGATTTGTAATATCACGCAAGTGTACATTAAAAACTTCTTATTTTTGACGGAATTACAAATAGTACTTCTTTTACTCTAATTTTTCTTACCTGGGTCAGGACTCTTCCTTGTGAGGACTACTGCTAAAGTTATACCAGTGGCAATCAAAATAACAACTACGGTTGCACCCGCAATAGCCAAGATCACGTTCTTCTGCATAATCCTGTAAATCCGGGTTTTCAAATTTACTTACAAGAAGTAATATCCATTTGAGGAGGTCAAGAAATAGTTTGCATGGATTAATTTGATGGTGGACAAGTGAAGGGATAGTTAAGTCCAAATAACTTCTACTAGGGTGGGCAAAATAAATAGCATTTTCAATTAGAAGAGTGAAGAATCATTGTTTTTTATATAAGGGAGATAGATGTATTCTAAAAAAAGGGAATGATGAGCAAAACTATCCATGGCTACTTTAGAAACCCGCAAGAAATTTGTCACAATCACAAAATGTTTGATCTCGGGCGGGCTCGAACCGCCGGCCTTCTGTGTGTTAGACAGATGTGATAACCACTACACCACGAGATCCACGACAAAAGGTTGGGAGAAATTCCATTCCACTCATATAGGAATTTATCACAATTGATTAAAGAAGTGGTATACATGTGTTCAATCTTTCTTGGTTAATATTTCTATCATGCAGTTCACCGGAAATTGGAATAGGAAAGTTGTTATAATGTTGTTCAACTCTTTTCGCAAATTGTTCAGATTCATTAATTCTTTCAAACAATGTTGGTTCAAAGAAATAGAAAATCTGAACAATTTGCGAAACATGTCCTTTTGACCTAAAACCTCAATTAGGGTGGAAAGGAAATGTCATTTTATATCAAACTTATTATTATTTATATTTACGAAGTATAATCATAATAGGCAGTCCTTGTTATGATATTAATGAGCGCATACATTGAATAAAAATAACACAGTTATTGTACTGACAATAAATTCATACGGTACTG